AGTCCGGTTGGAAGGACATGTCTTTTGTTTACATGTTATGTTTAGCAAGCAATCAAAGCCTTACATCAATAGTTAATTTCACACGAAATGTTGTCGGGGATTAACTGTTGTGCGCGTCATTAAAATAGCTCTTCGATTGGTTTTGTTTCCTTTGTTTTCTACTTAGACAAACTTGTTTTCTTTGACGCGTAATATGAAATTACAGAGTTATTACGTGTAACCTATTTCTGTCCGTATAACTAAATAATCAGCTGAACGTCCATTAGCCACCGTAAAAGCTGACAGCATATCAGGTGTACCTGGGAACTATTCTTTCAACACTTTGACGCGGCTGCCTTTCTTCTGGATGATGAGTGTTGAATGCTGTCGCGTAATGCCGCACACCAGTGGCGCATTCTGCCAAAAGACAACTATATGAGAGAAGGGGAAATTCACATTCATCATGTCAAGGCTCAGTATTATCATTCCGGTAAATGCAGCCAATTATGCATACTCTCATAATGTCCAGCTCGTCATGGATGATTGTGGACTTCTTACCGCCCATTTGGAGTGCTATTACTTGCAGAATATTTGTACAATATTGGTAAGAGGGGATATCAAAAAGCCATTTGTATCTAATAAATGCAAAACAGCTACTAAATCTTTGTTAGCTTCGTCTATAAAGCTACGGCACATACAGACCAATTTACTAAGGCATATACGGGTTCTTTTAACGGTAGTTAAGGTGAAATTACAATAAACAACATGTGGAGCTGAATAAATTGTGGCCAGTAAAATGCGAATGTGTCAAAGTTTAATCCAGGACTTTATGTTATCAAGTTATTGCGAAATCCAGCTGGCTTTAGGATTGGTGTTGGCGGTGCTCTAAGTGCAGGAATAAGGAAGTAAAAGGGACGGGATATGGGAATGCGTGTGGGGGTGGTTGTGGTGATTGTGATGTTTGAGTCAACGGTGTTAAGGGAGGAAAGTAGACTGTGTGGTGGGATTTATGGTTTCGGTGCTTTCGGCGCTCTCACTGGAAGGCGTCAATGAAGGGTTGAGGCGATGCAGATGTGCCCAGTTGGTAAGTGGGTGGCGTGCAACTGAATCTATGCAATCGGAATGCCCTACATCCTTTCCGCAATCCACCACACATCCTTGCTCACCTACTGCATTCCATCCGCACTCGCACGGTTGCTGCGCAGGAACATCACCACAGACGGATATGGCTGCCAATTATACTCAGAAATATTCAACGTGTAGTGTAAAAATCATGACCACGTGCCCAACTAGCAGTCGGCGAACGGCCTCAAGAGTGCGTACAAGAGGTGGAAAGAAAGCACCGCACTCCGTTCTAACCCCAGTCCTAATTCTGCATAAGAACACAGCACCAAAGGCCAACTCTACAGCCCCTACACCCAAGGCATTAACGTAGGCTGCCAACACGCAACTTTCAACCGGTCGGTCGGTCAGTCAGTCGTCAGTCCATGCCCACCCGCATCAACTGGTCAACAATCACCTTTGTGGTAATGGTAGGGGTGGCCCTCAACAGGGCCGTTATCACGTTTACGGTTGCAAACTCAGTCAGTCAGTCAGTCAGGCGGCAGGCCAGCCTACTCCTTGCTCACCACCGGCTTCTCCGTCTTCTTCGGCAGCGGCACCGCCTGGTTGTTTGGCAGCACACCACCCTGCGCGATGGTCACACCGCCCAACAGCTTGTTCAACTCCTCGTCATTGCGGATAGCCAACTCCAGGTGTCGAGGAATGATACGCGTCTTCTTGTTGTCGCGTGCCGCGTTACTCGCCAACTCCAGCGCCTCGGCAGCCAGGTACTCGAGCACAGAAGCCAAGTAGACCAGTGCTCTAGCACCCACCCACGCGCCCTGCGTAGTTGCCACGACGCAACAGGCGGTGCACACGACCCACGGGGAACTCCAGACCAGCCCGCGCCGACCTCGTCTTCGCTTTGGCCCGCGATTTGCCTCCTTTGCCTCTGTCGCTCACTGTCCTCCTCGCTAAGCAAGCCACCAACCGATTCAAGCGTGATAGCATCGCGTGACTCACTGCCCCCTTCTTATACCCACCTCTCATCACACTGAGGCATACTTCTTATTGGCTATGCAGAAGTCTAATCACTTTGCACATCTCATTCGCTCGTCACCGCTATCGTCGCCTGCTATTGGCTCTGACAATTTCCTCTTCGTCTCACGCCTCGACAGCTGCATCTGACTTGAGCACATCTCGCCTGGAAGAGGCTTTGACGTGTTCGCCTTCGATTCGGGCCAAGTTCATCTATCTCCACCTCAAATTAGTTGCACATTGTTGATGCCATTGGTGCTGTAACATCACATTCAACAATTCCGTGATCTGCAAGCACCACTCACTCACGCACGCTCATTCGCACACGCGTACACAAACAATGTGTCTAGCTTGCACTTCGACCTCTAGCTAAGTACCTGGTGATTAGTAATGGCTTTGTCGGTATACATATGCAGGTTAGCTGCAATATTGTTAGTTTTGGTTCATTTGTAAACCATTAATTAGCACATTAGCATGCCACCATGTCTTAGTTTTCATCATTTATTCATAACAATATATTATTTTATTTAAAAATGGTGGTACACGTCCGTGCACCCATAGAAAAATATGTTCTAAAGCAACTTTTGTACATTATTGTTTCTATGCGTTCCGGTTTTTCACTTACATGTATTTAGAACGCTTATATCTATATGCGTTTGCATTTGCATGTGTATTTATGCAAGGCTAAAAAATTCTATCACTCAAACATGCAGAGAATATGTGTAAGATGGGTAAAAATGTGACTACATAATACGTGTTTGAGTCGATGGATGTAGTTTTGATTTGCTGATGCAATGGTGGCATCTGCGTGCAGATGGGGTGGTTAGAGCGCAGGCCGTTGCCACACCGCCCTCGCTCCAAACTCGGGCCAATGAAAGGGTGCCTAATGCAGTTTTTGTCATTGTGATTGGCTATTGGCTGTGCCATTGGTGGTGATGCGAACTTTGTCAGTGATGGTGAGGGAAGGATTAGGGTTAAATAGATGTGGAGATGTCGGTGTTGGCGACTTGTGTTGCGTTTCACTGACGGGAAGAGAGAGGAGGTTGCTGTTGTTATGGCCCCTAAGGTAGTGTCAGGCAAGGCTGCGAAGGAGGTGTCGGAGGTAATTAGCACATTTCTATGCCACAATGTCTTATTTTGCATCATTGATTCATCAGTGTATAGTAGCACACGATTGTGAAATTATTAAAAAATCTATTTTTAACCAACATTTATGTAGCTCGAGACTTGTACTTCACCTCATTCCTCTTACTATTAAAGCAACTAAGTTGGATTGATCTCGACTTATTGATGAGAGGAAAGTGGATCGGGAAAACAAGAGGAGGATCCGTAATCGCTCTCAGGCTTGGGAGACGCCGACTCTATTACCAGATTCGATTTGTAACCATGCCTTCTCTCTGAAAGGTGCATTAAAACACTATAGGTATTACATAGCCACCTCGTTCTTTTAGCACCATCCTCGGCGCGATCACTTATGAGCTCCTTTGGAAATTCCCATTCGACAAGACTGTATGTCCCGGGAAGGTGACCGAGCGTTGCAGGAAACGGCACTTCTTCGGGTTCTAGGTTATCCTGCATCCCGTAGACGATCCAACACTAGTTTCAGGTTGGTATCGTGCTCTTGAGAATCTCCACCGAAAACGAGAATATCGTCAAGATGGATAATGCAATGCTTGGGGAATAGGCTGATCAGAGCTGTTTGCATGAGGTGCTGGAAGGTGGCTGCTGCGTTGCAGAATTCAAACAGCATCGTCGGAAATTCATAAAGCCCGTTTGACAATATAAAAGCTGTCGTTCCTCGGTCTGTTTCTGCAACCTCTACTTGCCAACATCCCGAATTGAAATCTAGGGTGGAGAACCACTGCGACCCATGTAAGGAGCCAAGTGAGACATTTATGTGGGAGAGAAGAAAGGCATTTATCTTGGTTGCAGCATTCAACTTCCTGTAGTCGATGCATAACTGCAGCCTGCCGTCATTCTTCTTTGCCAGCGCGATAGGAGAGACCCATGGTGACTTGGATGACTTTATAGCCTCATCTCGAAGCATTTTTTAACCAGATGGTTTACTTCTCCCTGC